CGCCTTCATGATGACAGCGTATCGTTTAAAAAGATGGCGGTCCTAGTAACGGCTTAACGCCTCGATTTTAAAAACGACTATTTTGTACCCGTTTCAGGTAGGATTATATGCTTAATTGTAGTTGAGTGTTGTAGACATATTATAAATAACAAAAACCAATCGTTGTTTTGATTAAAACTATTGTCAATTTTGTTTAAAAATGCCGGGTGTGAATCGCACTCGGGGCTGCAATGTTATTGGTAATGGGCTCATGTCTTATCTCGAAACACGGAGGGTTGAGAGATTAAGGTTTGTTATCTAGGTATGATGTAGCTCTGCTCACTTACAGTGGCGGATTTAACGGGTTCTATGGGCTCCAGCCCCCTCCTCTAGAAATGCCATCATTTCATAGCACTCGCATGGATTTGTCCACTGAAATAACGCCAGAATGCACTAATTTTGTGGAAGAATTTTGCGGAATCCCGCCCCACTGAGACCGGCGACAGAACGATTAGGCCCTACTTCGCCCTCGCGGGCGATCGGGGTCGTGTGTGTCTGACCTGTGTATTTCGGCAGGTGTCTTTCAAAGGCAGGTAAATCTGCTTGCAAACGACTAGGGTTTGTGCGTGTCGGGTTGTAGTACTTGGTAGAGTGGCCTGTTGTGGCTGCGATGCGTTGAGAATTGTCCCTCGACTTGGAGATTTGTCCGCTTCAGACGGACAGAGCTCTCTCTCTGTATATTTGTTTTTCTCAGCTACTTCTTCACTTCCACTTCGCGCGCCCTGGCCGAGGGTCTCCTGGCCAAGAGAAGAGAAGAGGAAGAAAGAGAAGAAGGGGGGCGAATTTTTACCTTTGCCCGACGGCCCGTGTCTACATGCAATTGGTGTGGGACTTGTGCGAACGAAATAACGGACCAGGGGAAAAGAGAAGGCCAAGAGTGCCCCGTCTCGAAATTTGAGAGAGATGCGGCCGAGAGGTGGTCGTGCTGGAATTCCTCAGGAAATCACGTTTCCGGCCTCCAATTTCTGAAAATTTCAAAGGGGGGAGACCCCCTCCCCCTCCCTCCGAGACCCCCCTTATGGGGCTTTGGCGCTCGCGGTGGCCAGTTTCGCCACAGCTCCGTGGTCGTTGATCAGGGGCCCCCCACATGTTCCAGGCCCCAGGGCCCCCACCATGGTCAATCCGGTGTTGCCGATGCTAATACAAATGGTGTAATATGAAGTTAGTTGTTCAAGTTAGGAAATGAAAATGGAACAGCTTTTTTGTCACATGAACATAAATACTGTGTATAAATTTAATCTGATAACTTTGGTCTTTAGAGTATCCACAATAGTTTTGAATAACAATAACTTTGGAAATGAAATGAAATGGGGTTTAACGTCCTACTGTTCTGCTCCTAACCTGGGCTAATGAAGACGGGCATACGCCATACAGTGTGCTATGATGGAATTTTGCCCGGGCAGTGGCACTATCGCCTACCCTTATATCAAATTCCAACTGCCAAGGGATCTTTTACGTGCATTCCAATGTAGACACGGGACCTCAGTTTTTCGTCTCAGGCCCTCCGTTCTGCACCACTGACAAGGGGAAACCACGTCGGAAAAATAACTTTGGAAGTAATTATTAGAAATCTTTGAAGATAAATAGGTTGTGTTGTCTTATGATCTTTGACTTTGTGAATAAATTTAAAGTCGTTCAGATATTAACAGGCTCAGGGGCGTACATAACGATTTTGTTTGGGGGGTGTTTAGCCAAAATGCGACCGACTGATGCCTATGCCCCTAGTACGAGTGACGCAGTCAGGAGCCGCGCACCACAGGTGCGAGTTTTGTAGGGGCCATGTGCAGTAGCGGATCTAGATAGGGCTAGGAGGGGGGGGGGGATCTAGGGCGCCACCCCAGCCACAATCCCACCCCACAATGAATGTCAACAAAATACTGGCTATAACATTAAGCGTATAGATGGTATTGTATAATTATATAGTTGTTTGCCGATCGTTGTCTTGCTGGAAGGCAGTTTTATTTAAGTTGACATAAAGTTTATGTCATGATTGTGCCTATAACACTGAGCAACCTGAGAAAATTTTGAAAAATTGAGTCAATATCTTGGCATTTGAGGTCATTGCTGGGAGAAATTCTTGTGGACGAGAGGACCAGAAATGTGAGTCAATTAGACAAAATCTCGAGATCCGCCCCTGTCAATTCCGCCTGTTTTGCAAGAGTTGACAGAACTTTTGTGTAGTCTGACGCCCCACGACCCACACACCAGTGCCAGTGGTACTACTAACATAACTAGGCAGTTCAGTATAACCGTGAATATGATAGTGCTGAGACAGTATAAGACAACAGAGGAGTGGAAGAATGATGTTATAATGGAATCGAGCGCCGCAGGCGCGAAAAAATTTCAGATGTGTAACCGAGCTTTTAATTTTTGGGACTGGGCCTGACAATTTTAGTCAATGTCATGGCAAATGGATCCAAATTCTCGTTAACGAGAGGATAAGAAATGGGACAGAATCTTGAGGCCTATTTGTCAATGTCGCCTGTTTTGTGAGAGTCTTTTGACCCACGACTCACTCACTAGTGGTACTAGTAACTGGGTGATTCACTGTAACTCTGAATATGATAGTGATGAGATAGTATAAGACAGAGAAGGAGTTGAAGAATGATGGCATAATGGAATTGAGCGCCGATATCTAACTGAGCTTTTAATTTTTGAGGACTGGGTCTGAGGGCACTTTACCTCAATGGGGCGCTTACTTGGTCTCTGAAATGCCCTGGACTTTAGGGAGAGATTTTGCAGAATTCTGATGGTCAGAAAACACCCCATTAATTCATTTAGTCTGGGACCGACTGCGGTGAGCACTTTTTTGGAGACCGACTATTTTTTTTGCCATGGGGTGAAAAACATTTTTTTCAAACATGTTAAGTCGACAAGGTTATTTTATACTAAAGTTTTGCGTGAGTAGAGTGACGTGTGCAGTGAGCACTTATTTTGATACCGACTGCTCATATCTTACGACCGACTGCACTGATCTTGCGACCGACTAGTATTTGGGATCTATTCTGGCATTATTTGTTTACCTCATTAATTCATTAAGACGGCGACGCATAACTTTGAGACCGACTGCAGTGACTGCACTTATTTTGAGACCGACTATTTTTCTCCCAGGGGGAAATTTTGTTCTTGGACCTACATACTCACAACAGAATAAGAGTGAAACACATCATTTTTTCAAACATGATAAGTTGACAAGGTTGTTTTATACTGAAGTTTTGCGTGAGTAGCGTGACGTGTGCAGTGAGCACTTATTTTGATACCGACTGCTCTTATTTTGCGACCGACTGCACTGATTTTGCGACCGACTATTTTTTTTCCTGGGGGAACAGGGTTAAAGACAATATTTGGTTGTATAAAAACAATCCCACTGAGTTAGAAAAACTTTATTAGGAACTTAAGACCTCTATCCCATTTCATAAATTTGAATGTCATTGGGGGATAACTTCGCACTATGTGGTCAATTCTGAATTCAGTAGGGGTCTTCCTATGAACAATCCTTGCAAATTCGAAACAATTCTAGTTAGAAATTTGGCTGGACCGACAGACAAAGGTGATGGCAGTATAATTTATATTAAATGTGGGCATACAGAAGAACAAGAAGACATGGTCATCATCATCTTGTGCTCTTTGACATGTTTTGGAAGATACAGGGATATACAGTCTCTGTGTTATTGGTAATGTACTAGTATTGTACATGTTATGTATAGGATATTAACCTGCCCGCGCGTTCTCTACCATATCAATCCGAGGGAGAGTAGGTTTATATCCGACATATACAACGCCATTTCACCCTTAAATTTAATGGGCTCTTCCATTAAAAGGCAACAATGATTGGATAATTGCTCGATAGTTTCCGCCAAATAGCGAAAATTACCGAAGTAATCACGTGCATGTTTTTTTTTATACATCGCCATTTTGGACTATTGAATTGAAAGCAAAAACAAAATGGATAGTAATACGAAGTCAGACGAATAATCAATCCTTTTTAGCCAACATATTGACGATGGAATAGATGTGAATGCAAATATCGACGAGGATTTATCCAAAGCCTGCAGAAAATTTGGACGAAAAGGCATTCTTTTCCAAGAATTCTGACAGTAAACCATGATTGAAGGTTAATTTCGGTATGCTCAGAGAAGGATTTAACCGACTGTTTTAAGTGGACTGTACCCAAAAATACTTTACAAAGGAACTCTTGGGCGATAAATACTTTCAAGTCTTGTAGTGTGTGGAGAAATAATCGCAATGTGGACGGAAAGAAAATTCTGACATGGATAACCGATCTAAATACATGTATATCGATAAGTACGCCGTCTATTTCGGCCCGGAATGTTACAAACTGTACCATAACAATTTTTAATTGTCAAAAGAATAAAAATTTATTTCTGTGTTTTTTGTTTTATTTCGATCATCTATGTCATCAGCGGTTGATATGAGCCGAATATATCGACCTGAGATGACGTCATTAGAGGTTGATAATATCAACCTGTCATGGCGTCATCAGCGGTTGATATGAACGAATATATCAACCTATGATGACGTCATGACAGGTTGTTATGAGATACAACTGCTATGGACATTAAAGAAAAAACTACCGCCAGTTGTATATAAGATGGATAGCAAATAGTATCAGGCATCCCATTTATTCTGTCTGGTTATAGTGGACATCCATTGATTTCAATTACAATCTATCATCACAACCATTTCTTTTCTCATAATTACCAGTGGCAGATCCAAGTGTGACGGCCCCCTGGCCCCCTCGAAACAGTTTGCACCACAAATCACCACTGACACCCCCCCCCCCCCACACACACACCAATGGACTGACTAATAAAATACTTAACAGGATTATATTGTGAATTCTGTTCTATACCCATCTTTATCTTTAAATTAGCCAGGTGTTCACCACATTTTGAGAAAGGGCTGTTCAATTAATATAAATAGGAAAAACAAAACGTATACAATTTATTATATGAATTTTATTAGCTCAAAAGAACATCCAGCAAAGGATTACATTTAGATATTGCTGATAGAGACATCTATGGGTACAGTACCTGTCAGAATATTACCATACAACTAGACTGTATCATGAAATTTAACATTCAAACATTTTCCACAATTGAATATCAGTTTAAAAACATATACATTGTACATTTAAAAGTTACAAAAGCCACCTTTCCAAACAAGAGGGTTATAAATATGTGTAGCCTGGATCGAACACCAAGATAAGATAGATGTAAACAAGCGATTGCCATGCAAGATACGTCCACATTTTGCAAGAGATGGACAGTGACCAAGCTAAAATAGCGTTTTTTGTACAATCAGGGGATATAATCCAGCAAGTTACGACCTAACATGCATCAATATCGATCGGAAGCGAGATCTTTGGGATATAAACATACGTTTTAAGTTTCATCAAAATCAGACAAGAATTGTGACCTCTTAGAGTGTCCACTAGCTAAAAAATGTAATTATTCGTAAACAAACAGGGGCCATAATCAATGAAGATCTGGTCCAATACATGCCAATATCAGAAGAAACCAAGATCTTTGGAATATAACCATAGTTTTTAAAGATGCATAATGCAAGGTTTAGATAAACAGCTGGGCGGTCTTGCTATAATAGTTTAAAAACAGATAATGAAAAATTAACATATTGAAAATTTCATTCAAATTACTTTATTCTGAATGAAATTGTAGGTGTTGAAAGATGTAGTGCAGATTGTTAATTATCATAGCAACGTTACTTGTTAATCTTACATAATGGATCTTTAAGTTTTATCAAAATCAGATAAAAACTGTAACCTCTGGAAGGTCCAATACCTTGGTATTACATGCTTTTACATTGTCGAACAGTTTCCGTCTGATTTTCACGAAATTTAAACTCGCCTGTAAATTTGGTGTAATGGCGATATAAATGCATGTTTTATAAAATCAAATAAATATTGTTATCTTTAAAGGATCCACAAGTTAAAAAGGCTATTTTTCATACAATCAGGGACCATAATCCAGGAAATTACGGTTGGATATGTGCTAATATCGAAACCAAAATCTTTGGGATATAAACATATATTTCAAGTTTCATTAAAATTTGATCAAAATTGTGACCTCTATTGGGTCCACAACCCTAGTATTACATACTTTTACATTATTTGCGTACAGGAGAGCGGCCATATTGTTAGACAGTTTCGGTATGATTTTCACGAAATTCAAACTCAACTGTAAATATGGTGTAACGATGATATATATATTGATGATATATATATTGAACGGTTTTACAAATTAAATAAAATTTTTGACACTAAAAACATGATTTTCCGTACAATCAGCGACCATAATCCAGGAAGTTAAGGTCTGATATCTTTGGGTTATAAACATACATTTTAAGTTTCACCAAAAACAGATAACAATTGTGACCTCTAGAGGTCCACAAGCTGAAATCATGATTTTTCATATAATTAGGGGCAATATTTATTAAGTTACTTTACAATATGTGTCATAATATCGAAAGGAACCAAAATCTTTGGGATATAAACTGATATTTCAAGTTTTGTCAAAATCGGATAGAAACGGACAGGGACAATGACCTAATACAACCACATGAAAATGTGGGCGTATAAAAAAAACAATTAACTGTTTAACATTATTAAAACAATTTCTTATTTCATATGGATGATTCTCTCCTCAATATTTCTATAATGGATGTTGTCTCACCTACTAAACATTCTGTGTCTACCCTACATTTTCGATTATGTATTTCAATGATTTTACAATTATAGTTTGTTTCTAGATTTACAAAAGATTATCTTGTTTAACATATACTTTGATGTCTGGCATAGTGTATCCATTTTTTAAGTCAAGAAACCCAAAGATCAAACAGAATTTAGCTCACTTGCTTTAACTGATTGAGTATATCAAATGTATTTGATAATATAAATCCTCATTAGTGTAGGACATATTGGCAATATTCACACGAACACTGACATGATGTTCTTTTAACAAAGTAAGAATGATATAAATACATCTCTACCTCAATCATGCTTTGTGCATAAAGCTGCTATATACCATACCAATTAAAGAGCACATCATTTTGATGTTAACAACTTCCTTTTAATAATAAAACAAGACATGTACAATGAATATATGAAATCGCACAGAATATTTTAATTTTTTTTTGCACTCATAACTTCCATCTTAGAACTAAGACTGAATATATTTACAAGTTTATTTACAATTTCATAAGACATAATAGCTCACGCTACTAAACATATATAGATATCTATTTACATAACTTAGTGTTGAATATCAGAAAATGATCTGTATGTTGGAGAACAGAAGAACTGAAATAAAATCACTTCTCAGCTGTCCGATAAATATAAATTATACCCATTACCATACATGCAATTTTTCCAAATAATTACCACATATCACTACTTTATGAATTCTGCACCTCCCCCTCCCTTACTTAGCATGATATTTAAATTTTAAAATTTGCGTATATTGGAAACTCCTAGCTTAATGATGATGATCATTAATTTTTTAAATCTAACAAGCCAACAGTGAGGCTGATGTCCCCAGCCGAAATTTCAAAATAAATAGATGACACATATTAATTAATCGCACATTTATTTTTTTCACTAAGTTTCATCACTCTCTATCAGATAGAATCAAGATTATCTTGTCCCAAACCATCGACAAATGAAATCGATTAGCTCTGCTTAGCTTCAGCTCGAAATGTTAATTATTGAACTCAGTCAAGACATTCACCTAATGAACATCTACATATACATCAAGTTTAATCATTCACCTAATAGACACCTATGCCAAGTTTGAACATTCTACCTCAATTAGAAGGAGAGTTATTGTGTTCCAAAGTTTCTACCAATCAAATTGCTTATCACTCTGCTTACCCTCAGCAAAAAATGTTCATTATCGAACTTAGTTAAGGTATTCATATAATAAATCTATACACCAAGTTTCATCAATCTCACTTAATTAGAACTAAAGTTATCGTGTCCCAAAGCATCAACCAATCAAATTGCTTATCTCTGCTTACCCTAAGCGGAAAATGCTCATCTTCAAACTCTATCAAGGCATTGACCTAATCAACACATACACCAAGTTTGAACATTCTAGCTCAATTAGGAAGAGAGTTATCGTGCCCCAAAGTATCAACCAATCAAATTGCTTATCTCTGCTTACCCTAAGCGGAAAATGCTCATCTTCGAACTCCATCAAGGCATTGACCTAATAAACACATACACCAAGTTTGAACATTCTAGCTCAATTAAAAGTTATCGTGTCCCAAAGCATCAACCAATCAAATTGCTTATCTCTGCTTACCCTAAGCGGAAAATGCTCATCTTCGAACTCCATCAAGGCATTGACCTAATCAACACATACACCAAGTTTGAACATTCTAGCCCAATTAGGAAGAGAGTTATCGTGTCCCAAAGCATCAACCAATCAAATTGCTTATCTCTGCTTACCCTAAGCGGAAAATGCTCATCTTTGAACTCCATCAAGGCATTGACCTAATAAACACATACACCAAGTTTGAACATTCTAGCTCAATTAGGAAGAGAGTTATTGTGTCCCAAAAAGTGTGACGGACAGACAGACGGACAGACAGACAGACAGACAGACAGACAGACGGACGAACCCATTTTAATAGTCCCCTGCTTTCTTCGAAAGGCGGGGGACAATTAATTAAAAAAAAGAAGAACAAACCAGTTTATGCTTGAACAATTATTAACTTTCTTATACACTGTTAAGAATTTATTTCACTATTCACTATACATGACATAACTGTTAAGCGTTATCATTTTCTACTTATTGGGTAAAAATCTTGGAAGAAACCAAGCTTTACTTAATCAAAGTTTCACCTAATATTTATATTAAACCGAGTTTCACCTAATATTTATATTAACCATATCTTCACCCACCCGATAATCTTTTTTTTATTAAAACAGTATTTGCTGATTATTAAATTCAAAATATGAAATACCAAATATACAAAATTTAGATCCAATTTTCATAGACAACGAAGATAACAAAAGTTTAAAGGATTAAGGCTTACATAATCACATAAATTTAATAACAGTTTACACAAAAAAACAACAAAAAAATCATTTGGCAATAAAATGTATCTTTCTCAATATATTTACTATTTTATAAAGGTCATTTGAGCAAGAATATTGTCTGCCGTTATAGAGGCACCTCACCATAAATCACTATATGTACAACACATTTCTTGAACAGTATTTTCCTTTTAACATGTCTATCATGTAAGTACAACACTACTGCTTGTATATCGGCCAAAATGTGATCTGCGGTTGTTCATTAATTGCCCCAACAAACTAATCTAAGATTTAATGTTCAATTCATATATTTTTTGTATGCAATTATAATGAAAGATGGGTTGCCAGGTAACAAAACATACGTCCACAGCAGTTAAGTCATCCGAGCACTCCACAAGGGTTGTCACATATTTTTTCTTTTGTCATTAATGAAAGCATTTACATATATATACTCAATCCGATGATATATTTGGTCTCTAGATTTTTCAAAGAGATCAAAGGCCATAATTTTGGCAGGAATAATCCAAAGGCTTCTTTGTCTCATGAACTTATACACTATGTAAGAATCGAACCATAATGGACAGACTGGGCTGATGACCAAATTTAAATGTGGGTGTATAAAACAATTCTTAGATATAAATCAATAAAAAAAAACTCTTACAATAAAAATTAATTTACAACAAGAAGTTATTTAATAAGATTAGAAGGCAACTGGCTATACAAATGACATCATAAACAAAACTCATATTTATAATGCTACATAAATATTGATTGAAATATAAGGTACATAGCATGCAGAGACAATCATAATGAACGACAATCTGCAATCACAGACAGTAAGCATTCTTTATTGAAACACTTTTTTGAAAGTTTAGTATGGAGTATATATGCTAAATTGCACACATTGTCAGAAAAAAATTCAATATTCCTTCATATATTTCTTTCTTTCCTTTCAATGACAACTGAATTAGGGAATACAATAAAGATGCCATTACATTATTTTAGTTTTGTTCAACAATTTGATATCATTAAGAAAATACATTGTCTTTTAAAACCTTTAATGTATTATACAAAAAATGTGTACTGAATTAACCATATCGCTTATATAAATATTTTCTCATTACATACAGCAGATATTTTTGACCATTGCTCCTCACTATGTATGAAGTAGTTGAACAACACTAAGACCATGTATTTTTATAAATAGTGTGTACACAGGCAGGGTGGTATAATAATGATAATAATAATATGATTTAACAACAAGATAATAATATCAACAATAAGCAGGATGCTATAACTCTGGGGTTTCTTCATCAAGCATTAATGGTTCCTCTTCATGTTTTTTATTGCCTAAAATAAAATAATTGAGAAATTTTAACAAAGTTCAAAACTACTGTACTAGTTATTAATTTGTACAGATATTATATTTTTTCTTTATACCAACCAGTTACTTCGTTGGGCATATTGGAAAATAAAATGAAAGAAACAGAGGTTGATGATTGTTTGCTATATTTTGTTTTCACATTGCTTGCAATAGGTGATATCAGCAACAGTGTTACAGTGAGGCTTTTGTATAAAAATAATGTAACTATTTTCATTTGATTAATCTTGGTCTAAGTGACCTGGGCCCTGTTTCACAAAAACTTAAATCTCCTTAAAATCTTCTTAAACTAAAATTCCATCCTAACTTAAGATAGATGCGTTTCACAAAACGATTTTAAGCATTTTAGATAAAATCCACTAAAATAATAAATAATATTGTAAGAATTTTATCTTAACTTAAAACTATTTTAGGGACAATTTTAACTGAAATTAATTTTAACTTCGGACAGCCGTCACCCTCTCCTAACTTAAAATCACGACATTAACAAACATTGATTAGAGCTACGTTGTGAGATCTTTTGTGACATATAGGTATATTTGGAAAAATAATAATATTGCCAGTGGCCCGGGTTATATAATTTAAACATACTATCATTCACAAAAATAATTTTCATTCAATTTCTTTTAATTGCATGGGAAATATAGCTGCGGAATACCCATCTATTTTATTGTAAGGCAATATAAGCAATTAGATGACACCCCAAATTTAAACCCCAAGAACAAAAAAAAACCCCTCAAAACCCCAGTCAACAAAACTCTTTGTTACTATTTTATATATTACCATATGATTCAAGTATAAATTATACTATTTTCAAATAATTAATAGACAAAAAAAACCTAAAAAAATATCTAAACTCACTTTATATCTAATGTCTATAAAAAAGTATTTTTGTAGGCCTACAATTCTTTAAAATGAGTGATAGAGAGAGAGAGAGGTGTTTAAAGTGCACATAAGATGGGTTTTGGAACTTTTGGATATGTGTAGCCAATGGTTACTATATCACATTTACGGCAAGTTCACACCAATCTGATTGAAATTAATTCAGTTATCTTCACTCAAAGTCGTAAAAATGGACCTCCCGTGAAAAAGAATTTGCCAATTATCGAAAACACTCTTAATCCCCTCAGACGCCAGTGACGTCACAGTGACCGAATGCATATTCGGAATGTTTATTCCTTAATTACCTATATACAGCCGGCGTGTGTACTCATTAACGCCTGACTGATTCCTTAATCTCCCTTAGTTCTTAATTAAATAAAACAATTTAAGATCCAATTTAGATTGCCTACAACTTTTAAACTTTGAAGTCTTGAACTCTTAATTAATTTTTTACAATATGGAACTTATTGGACGAACACTTTTAATATGTAAATAATATACCGGTCCAGCTATGTGTTTTTTAATGCGAGCACTTCGCTTTTCCACATAAAGTGTAGTGTCGTTAATATTTGTCATTAATCAATCCGACTATAAAAGTTATACAGGCATGGGTCATAAATTACACGTCGGTGTTAGCAGTGAGTGTTAGTGGGATAAAGAATGTTGATTAGGTAATTATCTTTTTTTACGCCGGCCAGATCAAAGACATCACTCTAAGTGGAACGTGTGCATAATACCTCATGAACGAACTAATGGTAGAATCGTACACCCACACATTAATTGTATAAAATCATTAAGTTTTACTCATCAGTTGTTTATAAGTATTATTTACCCAATAATTATTGCTCACCAGTGTTTTTGTAATCAAATAGCCTCGTATTATTTGTTGATTGGCGTTTAAACAACAATTGTTTATCTTCCTTTTAATAAAAGTATTTTACAATTGCATTGACAGTTTAATCACTCACCAAACGGCACCAGGAACTCCACGTATGATCCCGTGCAATTTTCGTGCTGAAGTTTAACCTCATTTACTACACCCGTAGTACATGTAACCGTAAATGGTAATAAGATTCCCAGCGTTGATTAGCTGAGAAATGAGGGCGATCTATTGTACATGTTATGCAGTCATCGGAAAATTCCATATTCACTGGAAATTTCAAATGGAGTTACGATAAAAGTTGTTCTTTATGTATAGAAATGGTTATTATTATTATATATAGCTAATAATGAATATATCGACAAATGACTGGCGCCATTATATCAAGTATTACGGGGTTATCCAAATTACCGGTAAATGCGCTAATTTCTTGAGTCGTCTTCATTTGACATGTGGCCTATTTAAACAAAGGCAGCTTAAATGGATCTACGGCATGATACGGCATTTAAAATTCACTCTAAAATATTCCAATCACAAATGAAAGACGATAATTCGGTGATTATGATTAGGCCAGTCACGTGGTAATTGGAACGTCAACAGACGCGTGTCAACTTGCCGTGTGTATTGATAGTGCTATATTGTACAGACGGTGAGATATTGTATAGATAATGTATATCCTATGTGTAGTGCCTGTGACGTCACCAGCCAATCAACCGGATTAAAGTCGTAATTGAAAAATTGAAAAGCGTTTTGGCGTGTCGGACACTTAAACGTTAACAGCCGACTTAATTTTAATCAGATTGGTGAGAAGTTGCCGTAAAGTTGATATAGTAACCATGGGCTATACATACATGTAATTTAGATTTTCGATCTTACATGGTCTTTAAGTCCACTAGACACAAACTAGGTGATTTCGTTAGTAGTGGGAGGAAAGTGGAGGACCTGGAGAAAACCCTTGAGGTTGGACAGGAGACCCAACTCCCTGTCACGTACAACCGGGGAATCGAAACCCCGCCAGTCCTATAATACTAGACACGCCATATGCAAAGTATTTATGGTTTTGGGGTTATGATGATTTATGTAGGAGCCAAGGGTATTTTATACTGGGAAAAAAATCATTTTAATTTAGTAAGATAGATAGGCATTATCCAATAAGGAGTGTGGCACTTCGGCATTTTCCAAGTAATATTGAAAGGGTCCCTGGGACTGACATGTCAAATCTAGACATCGGAACATTGGCTATTTCATATACGAGTTTAAAAGTTGTTAAATACTTTTAAAATTCGACAATACTTTAGTCTAGATTAATCATTTAAGTCAGAAATATTACATGTTTGTGACAATTCTCAATATTTTCTGTTATCCAAAATACCATAAAACTACAAAATTCAAGCGATTTAGTTTATCGATACGCATTATTTCCATTGAAGCCTGCAAGTAAATAAAATGCCAAGGTCACGAAAGCGACATGCAAGTTCAAGGCCAACCAATACATTTCAAAATGAATAATACGCAATAAAATTCTTTATTTCATCGTTCTACGACTGTCTGACCATGTGCAATTTAATTCTGATTTTAGTTAAAATCTATTTTAGTGATTTTAGTTTAAGATTTTGTGAAACAGGGCTCTGTTTAATAAAGTGCGTAATGCAATTGGCAACTCCAGATCTTCTTTAATTATCCAACCACTTGACTAGCTGGCTTGTCAAGGTTCAATGTACTATTATTCTGTCAGAACTTTTCTTACATCTTTAGATATTAAAGGGGTGACTCACCAAATAATTGAAACGCAAATTAGATGGTATTATAGTGTGATCGTAACAGCAGCATCATAATGGCACAGAGTATGTCTTATTTCTCAGGTGACATTAGGGGTATGCCATTTTAAAACTACAAGAGTATGGGGTTTTTTTTCTCGAAACCTGGTTACATAGGTGTTCAACAGTGAGTTACCAGTCTCAATTGTTTAGTCTTGAACATATAGTTAGAAATTACAAATCAAGAAAAGTTATCTCTTCTGTCACATGATTTCATGTTTGTACAACTGTGCAAGTTTGAGCTTGGTAATCTCCAACTTTAGGTCGCTTGCTACCTATAATCTTTTTAAAATCATGATTCAATTTTGAGAAAAGCAAGTGATTAAAAATTCTTTATTAAATAAACTTGTCACAAGACGTGACAAGGGAGATAATAACCTGTTTAAAGTCTAATAACGATAAGATAAAATTTACCAGTATCTTTCTGTGAGGATAAAGATAGAACTTTCTTACTAGCTGCTTTTATACCTATAGATGAATGTGGATTTTCTGGAATAAAAACAGCTACAATAAGTGCTAAAATCACTAGAACAGCGCCAAATGCAAATGGTGGACCAGGAACCAGCATCTATAATAATATAAAAACAAAATATCTGTTAGATTCAGATACAAATTATTTATCATTGATTGTTGTGTAAAAAACAGAAACAAACTTTTTAATCATTGATTATAGTGTTTTAAAACAGATACCAAACAATTATGGACTATTTATGTCTAAAATGACACAAATTTATTAATCACTGATTACTGTGTTAAAACAATGGTCATTATTATTTATTATTTTGTGCACAAACACTGTGGCAAATATAAGACATCAATACAGCTGTCCAAATAAAGGAGTATCCGCAGGGCTTAAGTAGGTGCAGGACATTGTCGCTTTCAACAACGAGATATTTGAAAGACTTATCAAGACCAGCATACTAGCAAGTAACATTGATAAAATATAGATTATGATTATATCTAAAGACTGCCTTTGCTGTTGACGAGCAGTAAAAAAGGATAGGTTGCCACAGCAGCTAAATTGTCCAGGCAGTCAACAAAAGATGTCGCATATTTTTACTTTTGTCGGTAATGAAACATTTATAATACACTAAAATCTGATAAAGAGTAACAACTCATTAAGTAATTATTAGAAATTTGTTTGGCCCATGCTAACGTTTAGTATACAAAACATTTAATATTGTGGATTTAACTGTCCAAGTTATCAAAAATCATTGAAAATCAATATACTTGTTCGTCTCAAGACCTTAAACTCTGTGTATCAATCTAAAGTCAATCAAAACGATTATATATAGATGTAAACAAGGTGTATAAATATAAAATCAATCAGATGATAACTATGGTCTCTAAAGTATCCACAAGATTTTTCAAAGTGATCAAGGGCCACAACTCAGGCAGTAATTATCGGAAATCATTGAATTTTAATAGGCTTCTTTGTCTGATGACCTTAAACACTATGTATAAAGTCAATCGGATATTAACTTTAGCCTCTCGAGTGTTCACAAGAATTTTCACAAGAATTTTCAAAGTGATCAAAGGCCATAACTCTGGCAGTAATTGTCAGAAATGGCTGCAAATCAATAGGATTCTTCGTCTCATGACCATAAACACTGTGTATAAATTTAAAGTCAATTGGGTATTAACTTTAGCCCTAGAGCTAAATTGCACCATAAACACCGGACAGACGGACGGGGGCAATGACAATATACAACCACATTTCAATGTGGGCGTATAAACAATAATTTTTATTTTATCTGAAATTTAATTAATCTGAAACTGATATCCATAAAATTGGCAAAATATCTTAAAGATAATAACCTGCATTCTAGTTTTCATGACACCTCCTATATGGCTTGTGTTTGATGTTTGTGCTGTATGTGTATGATCCTTAATTTTATCAGGATCTCCACTTAAATTTACATGGAAGAGGTAGAAAATAAAACCAAAAAATGCTGGACCTAAACCATTACATAGTCCTCTTATTCCAGTAATCACACCCTGGGCAACTCCTGTAAATATATATAACATATTAATCATACAGCAAATAGGGCGACTGAAAATTGTATTGCAAAACAGTCAAGTGTATTGTGATACGTATTGCAATATATTGTGAAATCTAGTTTAAACGAAAACTAGTGCTTTTAATTAAGAATAATTAATACAAATTACTGGTAAATCAAAACTAAAAGTTCACAACTACAACCATATGCTGTATACATTCCGTTAAAGAACTATAGATTTGTAAATAATACTTTTCTGGCAAGTACAACACCTGACAGGCACTTTTTCGCCCAGTTTAACAATTGGCATTTTGCAATTTCAGGGTGAGAGGCAAGAACTTAACATAAAATTGGTCTGTATGTCTTCTTTTTGAATGGATTTCTACTAATGATTAGCTAAACAATCACACCATAACATTCATGACATGCCGTGACTCACGGCACATAGCTTCATCGTAAGCGATTTTCTCGCGGGAATTGAGATCTCGGCGAAATGCCACTGCAAATGAGAATTTCTATATGGAGTCTTAAAAGACGTAAAAGATATCGCAGACAAAATGACTGTCCACTGATTTGGGGTGTTTTTTTTACTCTTACGAAATGTGACATCTAAGACTAATTTATACATGCTGTCGGTTGGTACATGCTGTAAAAGTCACTCCTATTGGATTGATGAATAGTCCGACAAAGGGAAAGCAGTGACTTCTGTTTGAGATTAGATTCATGAACTGTCCGACAAAGGATTAAGTCAGCCAATCAAGACAGATTAAGTAGTTAATCAACGTAGGTGTATAGACGGTATAACACGATAAATACGTTGATCACTTAATTACCTAATCAATCCAGCCTATTATCAACGATAATCGGGTTGAGTTGTAGCTGTACACTCAGTAGACTATAATAATTTTGGATTTTTGAAAATTATTCACCATGTCTTGATGTCCGATTGGGCATATTCATGGTCCGACAATTTTGGGCATTCAGAAAATAGCGTCGGACAAGTCTGGAATATACAGGCGAAAGCCCATCAGTGCTCTGAACTAAGCTTTAAATGTAAATATGTGAAGAGCAAATAACTTCACAAAATGCATTCAAAATCTATGACCTAAAATTGTGAAATTCAATAGAGAGAGAGAAATGGGGTTTAATGTCCACTCGACCCAAACTAAGTCATTTCGGGATTAACATATGGTTCAATTTTATTTCAATAATTCACTCGTAGGTGTCTTTAGCAGTGGGACCAAACCGGAGGCCCAGAGAAAACTACAGTAGTTGATTCAATGAAAGAACTTATGATACACCGCTCATGTGCTAACCAGTAGGCCATCCACCCCCCCACCCCCAAATTCATTAGGGATCTAGCTTATGACCCTATGAAGAACTGTACCACAATTCAAAGAATTCCACTGAAAATTTTTTCCTGATCATATTCACAAGCGCTGAGCAAATGGGGATATAACTGTAAAACATTTTCATTTATAGAAAATTACTTCAAACGTGTGTTAAATAAGGAATCAATTTGATTAATGTGTATTAGTTTTAGCATTTGAAGTGCTTTAGACTTACCTTGCTTGTCGGCACTAGCATGGGCAGAAACAAAAGCACTAATTGCTGGATAAGTCAAGCTAGACATAGCAGCTACTGTTCCAGCTGTCCACATTATCCTATAGAAAAAAGAAATAAATTTAAAAAAAAAACAACCCAGACTTAATCAAAACAACCAGCTAAATGAAATGAGGTTTAACATCCTACTGTTTTGCTCCGAACTGGGCTAATGAAGACGGGCATAAGCCATACAGTGTGCTATGAGGGAAATTTTGCTCGGACAGCGGCACTACGGCCTACTCTTATATCAAATTCCAACTGTCAAGGGATCTTTTACGTGCACGCCAATGTGTACACGGGACCTCGGTTTTTCGTCTCAACCGAATGACTAGACAACTGTCCTTGTCAGGCCCTCCTTCCTGCATCACTGACAAGGGGGAATCACGCCGGAAAATCTGGATGAACTTTCTCGGCCAATGCAGGGATCGAACACCCGACCTCCACGCTAGTGAGTCAGCGTCTTACCCACTTAGCCACCGTAGCCTTAGCATGTACACAGATCCTATCATCAAATATGAAACAATAATGGCAACAATGTATATTTTTAAAAAATAATTCCTACCAAATACGGTGTGTATCTAAATCCAAATTGTTTGGACGTTTGAGGTCAATAAACCCAAGAAGTTCATTACTTATCAATGAAAGATAGGTTGCCAGGAAACAAAACATGCGGCCACAGCAGCTAAATCGTCCGAGAGGTCGACAAGGGTTGTCACATATTTATTCTTTTGTAGGTAATTAGGGGCATTTAATAGACAATTTCATACAGATGACATTATAATTTTCGTCGTTTGAGGGTTCACAAGGTTCTAAAAACTAAAACAAGGGCCATAACACAGAAAGTAATCTACAGAAATTGTTGAAATTCGACAGGCTTTTTCGCTTTACTAATTCAATTAATGCATATAAATTTCATACAGATCGGATGATAACTTTCGTCTTTCGGACGTTCCCAAGGTCCAACAAAGCAAAACAAGGGCCTTAACTCTAAAAGTAATTGACGGAAATTGCTGACATTCATCAATAGGCTTCATCATTTTCACTAATTTAAATGATGCATATGAATTTCATACAGATTGGGTGATAACTTTTGTCGTTCGAGCGTTCACAAGATTCAACAAAGTGAAACAAGGGCCATAACCAGATGTAATTAACGGAAATTTGCTGAAACTCACTAGACTTGTACGTTTTACTAATTCAAACGATACATATAAATTTCATACAGATTGGATAATAACTTTTGGCATCAGAGCAATCACAAGATTCAACAAAGTGCAACAAAGGCCATAACTCTAGATGTAATTAACGGAAATTTGCTGAAACTCAATAGACTTGTTCGTTTTACTAATTTAAACGATACATATCAATTTCATGTCGTCAGAGCAATCACAAGGTACAACAAAGTGAAACAAGGGCCATAACTAACGGCGTAATTAACGGAAATTCGTTTCAATAATTTAAATGATGCATAAAAATTTCAAACAGATCGGATGGTAACTGTTGTCATTAGAGTAGCGTTCAAAAGATTCAACAAAGTGAAACAAGGGCCATAACTCTAGATGTAATTAACGGAAATTGCTAAAATTCCATAGGATTCTTTGTTTTACTAATTTAAATGATGCATATAAATTTCATACAGATCGGTTGATAACTTTTGTCGTTCACAAGGTGCAACAAAGTGAAATTAGTGGAAGTTATTGAAATTAAATAGGCTTCTTCATGTCACTAATGCAAACAACATATCAATTTCAAAACAATCTGATGATAAATGTAGTCTGTAGAAGGTTCACAAGAAATTGTGGACGACGGATGGACGGAGCGACGGGGGAGATGGCAATATACAACCACATTTCCATGTGGGTGTATAAAAATGAACTTACCAAGGCTCTGATCCAAAGCCATAACAAGTTAGCTGTATCATCTCAAATACTAGACCAAATATAATAGCTTGTTTATGGCCAAGATATTTCATTAATAAAGCAAGGATTAAGGTCTGGAAAAAAACAAAAACGATAAAGGATAATTTATAAACACTGAATATTTCACATTTAAATAAATTTACTGTATCAAATATCAGACCATTTGGTACAGTTTAGAAATTTATTTGAGTATTATAAGCTGAGAATTAGCTGAAAAAATTGCATTTTTTGGAAAAGCAGCGACAGTATGCTGAACTCAGGCAACAAGTATCTATACGTGACCATGATAGCAAAATCAAAGATACGTTGCCAGGCAACGAAACATATGCCCACAGCAGCTAAATCGTCCGGGCAGTCAACAAGAGTCGTCATATATTTTTACTTTTTTCGTTAATGAAACATTTATAATACACTAAAATCTGATTAAAAGTAACAACTCATTAAGTAATTATAAGAAAATCATTAGAATTTGTTTGGTTTTAATAAAATTCTGCCCCATGCTAACGTTTAGTATACGAGACATTTAATATCATGGATTTAGCTGTTTAAGTTAACTATCAAAATTCACTGAAAATCAATATACTTGTTCATCTCAAAACCTTAAACTCTGTGTATCAATCTGAAGTCAATCGGATATTAACTTTAGCCTAAAGAACGTCCACAAGATATTTTGAAGTGATCAAGGGCCATAACTCTGGCAGTAATTAACGGAAATTGCTGAAAATCAATAGGATTCTTCGTCTCATGATCTTAAACACTGTGTATGAATTTAAGGTCAATCGGATATAAACTTTAGCCTCTAGAGCGTCCATAAGATGTTTTAAAATGATCAAGGGCCATAACTCTGGCAGTAATTATCGGAAATCGCTGAAAATCAATAGGATTCCACGTCTTATGACCTTAAACACTGTGTATAAATTTAAAGTCAATCAGATATTAACTTTAACCTCTAGAACGTTCATAACACATCTATCGTAGCAATGATCTCTGTGTTAAAATTATATTTGGAATGTGTTTAATCAGTTTTATCACATATTTGATAATGACTGACACCAATATTGTCCTTTAAGAACATCAGATTTCAACATGACACACGTAATTTCAATAAAATCATGCTTTCGGGAATGTTCCTGTTCAATGTTGTCAGTCACAAAAATAATCCAAAACGAGATCGTTCCATTGTTGAACAAAGGCTGATGCAGACAAATTAAAAGCTGTCAAGCCGTTCTTATATTTCGCCACGGTTTGCTCTTTTGAAAAAAGCGCAATTTAAACAAAGGAAGTTTGTTTACTAAAACTACGTATTTTTAAAAAAAAAATAATTTTCTGTTTGTTGACGTTAACTCGAAATTCGGCCGTCATCTTGGTTACTAAGACATCGCCAAAGTTCAACCAATCAGACATTGCGATAGATGGGTCATGTCATTGACATCACCGGGTGACGACCTCCACGACGTCACATAGCAACAAGGCGGGTTTGTTTACAATTTTAAACACTGCTATTGGCTGAGTAGTGGTGTTGAATATTATAAAGAGTAATATAAATAGAAAGAGGGGGTTTCGCTGGTTGATTTGGTATAGGTTACATGCAGTTCTTCCTTTGGCAAAATGGCTACGTTTTCGGGCAAAATTGGTCAATTATGGCTTTGTTACAAGTAAGTTGACCTACTTTGAGTAAACTACTGTTTACTAATTGCTCCATTTCTACCCTTATTCAATGTTTTCTTGCCAGGCTGAATTTTAACATGATAAAGTATTCGAAAATGGTCAAAACCAAATTTTGAAAATTTGTGCACTCGGACACAAATTAGCGCATAATTAGAAATCTACTTGTGCAACTTACGACTCGAGTCACATTTTATGCACATGGTTGACACAAGTTCTGTAAGCAAAAGCCATTCAACTTATATTCCGGTCCGTTTTTATATAAATGATATAACATTCTAACGAACCTGAGCCAATACAGATAAAACTCCTACAACTGCTATAAATGATGCCACTTCTTCTGCTGAAAATCCCATGACCTGTAGAACATTCATTTAATACAGTGTATACACTAAATTCATGTTTATTAGCAATTAGGTTTGTACAATCTTCTATTGTATTATTTACATTACAAATGCAATATCAAAGATAAGTAGCCAGCCATGAAACATACGCTCAGAGCAGCTAAATCGTCCAGGCAGTCCACAAGAGTTGTCGCATATTTTTACTTTTGTTGGTAATGAAACATTTATAATACACTAAAATCTGATTTTACAGTAAAAACTCATTAAGTTAAGTATACAAAACATTTAATATTACGGAATTAGCTGTTCAAATTATCAAAAACCATTGAAAATCAATATACTTGTTTGTTTCAAGACCTTAAACTCTGTGTATCAAGCCAAAGTCAATCGAAACGATTATAGGCGTAAACATGGTGTATAAACATAAAATCAATCAGATGATAACTATGGTCTCTAAAGGCATCCACAAGATTTTTCAAAGTGATCAAGGGCCATAACCCTGGCAGTAATTATTGGAAATCGTTGGAAATCAATAGGCTTCTTCATCCCATGACCTTAAACACTGCGTATATATATTTAAAGTCAATCGGATATTAACTTTAGCCTCTAGAGCGTCCATAAGATTTTTCAAAGTGATAAAGGGCCATAACTCTGGCAGTAATTATCAGAAAATGTTGAAAATTAATAGGCTTCTTCATTTAGTGACAAACACTGTGTATAAATTTGAAGTCAATCGGATATTAACTTTAGCCCTGAGAGCGTCCAAGCAATTGTGGATGCAGAAGGACAGACGGACTGGGGCAACGACAATATACGACCACATTTCAATGTGGGCGTATAAAAATAGAAAGAGAAAAAAGGAATATATTGTTTATTTCAAATTACTTTATTCTGAGCGAAGTTATGAATGTTTGAAGCATTGTCTAGATTTAGTGTGAATAGTCTTGATTGTCAAGTACCACAATATATGAAGTCTTGATTGTCCATATTAATGTTAACTGGTTATATGGTGCAGGTGATTTTAACCATTTAATATCTCAGCCATCCAATGGTCTCGAGAGTTGATTATGGACTTGTCATGTGAATAAATGTCTAAATAATAATTAATATAACATTTTAAAGCCAGAAAAAAGACCTGCAATAGGTAGATTTAGCTCTGATAAGTTATATATAATGCATCTTTACTTTAACCCTGTACTATTTATTTAAAACTTCAATTTTTCCAGGAGATACTAATTCCACCTTTATCTAATCACAATTTTTTGGTTAAAATTATGTACATAACTTACCAATCTAAGATAAACAAAGAAACAGGAATATTCTCCAGCTTCAGGTAAATATGACAGAAAGACAGCTATACATAGTAACAATATAAGATTATCTTGACCTATTTTCTTTAATGACTGAAAAAAACAAAAGAAACATTACTTTTTATCCAAAACTAAGGCCACACCAATTTAAATTTTCTGTTCTTCGGGAACACCTATTAAAATATTTGCCTCCAATATCTCAGGAAAAAAATAATTTAAAAAACAACCAGCGGCTGCCAGGCAGGATACGCCACATTTTTCAAGAGATGGATAGAGAACAAGCTAAACAAAAAACGATTTTTCATAACATCAAGGGCTATAATATCGAAAGGAACCAATATCTTTGGGTTACAAACATGTATTTCAAGTTTCATTAAAATCTGATCAAAAGTCTAAGCTCTCAAGGGTCCACAACCTTGATATACCATATTTTTACATTGTTTGCCGTTTGAGGGTTCACAAGGTACTACAAACTGAAACAAGGGTCTCAACTCTGGAAGTAATCTACAGAAATTGTTGAAATTTGACATGCTTTTTCGTTTTACTTATTTAAATAATTCATATAAATTTCATACAGATCAGATGATCACTTTTGTCATTCTAACATTCAGAAGGTTCACAACAGCCATAACTCTAGAAATTATTGATGGAAATTGCTGAAATTCAATAGACCTCTGTTTCACAAATTTACATGATAAATATAAATTTCATACATATCGGATGATAACTTTCATCAATCAAGCATTAACAAGGTTAAACAAAGTGAAACAAGGGCCATAAATATACGGAAATTGCTGAAATTCAATAGGATTTTTCTCTTTAATAATTTAAATGACGCATGTAAATTTCATACAGATCGGCAGATAACTTTTGATGTTAGAGTTTCAATAAAGTGAAACAAGTGCCATAACTCTAGACGTAATAAACGGAAATTGCTGAAATTCAATAGGCTTTTTCGTTTCCCTAATTTAAATATTGCATATAATTTAACATAGATCTGATGTTAACTTTTGGCGTTAGAGCATTCACAAGGTTAAACAAAGAGAAACAAGGGTCATAACACTAGATGTAATAAACGGAAATTATTGAAATTACATAGGCTTCTTCATCTCACTAATGTAAACAACATAAATCAATTTTAAAACAAATGGATGATAACTTTTGGTGTTAAAGCGTTCACATGAAATTGTGGACGATGGAGGGACGGACGGACTGACAGATGGACGGATGGGGGCGACGGCAATATACGTATAAAGACATGATTTTTCGTACAATCAGGGGCATTATTCAGGAAGTTACGGTCGGATATGCACGAATATCGAAAGGAACCAAGATCAGATAAAAATTGTGACCTATATAGGGTCCACAAGCTAAAAACGTGATTTTTACAGATCGGCAGATAACTTTTGATGTTAGAGCGTTCACAAGGTTCAATAAAGTGAAACAAGGGCCATAACTCTAGAAGTAATAAAAGGAAATTGCTGTAGAAATTCAATAAGCTTCTTCGTTTCAATAATTTAAATACTGCATATAAATTTCAGAAAGATCGATGGTAACTTTTGGCGTTCAAAAGGTTCAATAAAGTGAAACAAGGGCCATAACTCTAGACATAATGAATGGAAATTGCTGAAATTCATAAGGCTTCTTCGTTTCACTAATATAAATAATGCATATAAATTTCTGAAAGATTTTGTGGGATGAAGATCTCATACTATTTTTCATAAAATACACTGACTGGAGTGGAAAAGTCTACTCATTGCTAATTCATGATATTTTGTCCAATATTTTACAAATCACATTACTACTTATTACACGAATACGTCACGATTCAAAAGGACCTTTTTTGTAAACCAAGGCAAACAATGAAAAAATCCAAGTTCTACGCAACCAATTTTAACAAACCTAGCATCAAATTGAAGTTGACATCCGTAGGAACATTTCTATAGGACGAATTGTGATAATATGAAATAGATTTTATTTCAGACCAGTTTACATAATGACCTATGAAATTTTTTGATTTTCTGGAATTTTGGCATTATTATTGGCACCATGAAAAAGAACTCCCGTAAATTTATTTAATTCGGATCAGACAAGACTGAGAATTTCTTAGATTTATGACGAAAATTGATCATTTTTAAGCCGATTTCAAAATTTAATATCTTTAAAACCACAAGAGATATGTGCCCAAACTATGACTTGAATCGCAGCTTTAGATGTCTATTTAAAGATCATATCAAATTTATGTGGAGCAGGGTTTGAAAAATAATATATAATTAATTGCGAAGTTACCATAGGCTAGACATGGCAACGCTCTTAAGATTAAAATCTAACTGATAAATCATAGTAAAAAATCCCCGGTAACAAACTTGACAAGAATGTGTGTATGCATAAAGGATTTATCCAGGATGCGTTTCCGGTGCTTGCCCTTTATCAACTGGTTACAAAAATAATCCTGTTACCGGGTATATATAGAATTATTGCGCATGCGCATAACATTGAGGATTATTAATCCCTATATTGGGATTATAAAAATAATAATGATTTAAATATAGACAAATTAAGAACATTAATGTACAAAAAAACTTTTTAAAAAATGATGAATATGAATAAAATGGATGTACAAACAAAATTTAATTATTTTTAATAAACAAAACAAAAAATATTTAAACGCCGACTATCATCTAGTGACTGTTGTCAGGTAACATCAATGACGGTAGTTTCCGTGGAGATGAAAAGAGATGAATATATATAGTCTCGGTCATCCGGAACCTCCTAGTCTTCAAACGTGCAGAGGTAGAATATATGTATGGAGTTTGCTGCGATCGGTCTATAGGTTGCGTGGTTTAGCTGAGTTATGAATTCAAGGAGTAGTTTCGTAGCTGGTGGTTCAACTCTGTGGATCGTGAAATCGGTGATGCTGATGGGTGGTAGATCGAATTCCAGGTCAACAGAAAGGTTGTTGGTCACCTCTATGAATATAAATAGATTCTGTAGTTTAGAGGGCCATGGGAGAAAAATGTACGAAGTATCGATAAGATAGTTGAGGCTTAATCAGTTTCTCTAAAATCTATCGCATACACGGATGCTGTAAAAATAGGGTGCCGATTAGGTTTCAATAGATATTCCTCGATCTGGTACGTACAGGTGGTATTTATTCTTCTTAAGGATGAAATTAGGTTGTCTAAATAAAATCCAAGTGTGTAGAGATTTATCTTCCCATTTCTGTATAACTTTATTATTAATGGTATTTATGGAGCACTTACGTGGAAAGGTTAAGGGCAAGGTATAGTGACACCATCTTGTTGCATAGTAGTCTCAACACCAACAAGGCTGAAGATATTATTTCCCAACACAGAATAGTGGCCCTTGGATACAAACGTCCAAAATAAACTCTATTAGTATTACTCACAATACACTATTTCACTGTCAATACCCCTTTAATTCGTACATCCCCGTGTTATCACGTAAACGAAAATTTCAGTTTCATCACTTTCTTGCCCAATCGCGGATACACCTACAGACAAAACAATAAAACTTGGGGACAGATATTATCTCTCAATTTATACTCTGATCTATGTAGTACAGTAGTCAAGTCTTAGATTTTCGAGTTGCTTTTCTATTTCCTTGTAGTGTGTGATTTCCACGTCCTTGCTACCAAGGGGTTGGGATCCGTCCTTTTCTTTTTCAATCTTGAAAATGACCCTTCATATCTTTAGACGGGTGATGCAAATAATCGTTAAACTGATGGCGCTTAGTGGAACCTTGTATCGATATGCAAAGGTTTCATTTACATCACCATACATACAATTATGTCGTATTACCTTTAGTAATAACACATTTTGCCGTTGTATAAATGTAAACAATGTTTCGTAGGTAGCTTTCGTGTCCGAATATCTGGTATGCCCTTGACCTTATGCTAATATCAATGAGCAAAGCGTTAATTTTAAAAACAAATTTTTAATTTTTTAATTTAAACAACTGCGGAATACAATTAATTCATATCAAAATACAAATGAGGTTTCATTTATGGGATTTGATAATATTAAAAAAATAAGTCATGCATGAACTCATTGATGCAAGCAACACTTCCTTTGAGCAGTGATTCGACACAGAAAGGTAAATAAAAATGCAGTAAATACTTTTTGACTTATACTATCACAATTATCCTTACATCAGGTGGTAAATTGTAATATTATAGTCTATTGCACTTCATTTGCAAGAACTGTTACATCTTTTAATATCAACATTATTCATATGGACTGTTCTGTAAATTGATGAAAACAGAACTGTCAAAATCTAAGCTATCATGGCTGCCGTTGTCAAGTGTTGGTAAATAATAGCAAAGAAGGAGACGAACTATTTATCTAACTGATAACATAATTGAATCATTGAACTTTACACAAGGGAACAAACGAAAGTCTACTTACTCCAAAAGGATCTGCCTTATCCCAAGAAATCTGAGATCCCCAACTGGCTGGTCGAATCTTTTCAGGAAGAGACTCAGGACACGCTACCATTACAAATATTATATCTAAAACAGCTACAGCAGATGCCAGCCATATGACTAAATTCTCACTATAAACATGCTGTAAATAGGCACCTATTGCAGGACTTGTAACTAAACTAGCAGCAAATGTAGCAGATACCTAAAATCCAAAAAAACAAAAAAAACAAAAAAAAACAAGCCAACAGTGAAGCTAATGCCCCCACCGAAATCCTAAAATAAATAGATGACAATTTTTAATTAATTGCACATTTATTTTTTTTCAAAAGTATCCATCAATCAAACTGATTATCAACTATACACTAAGTTTCATCACTGTCTTATCAGATAGAATCAAAGTTATCTTGTCCCAATGAAATTACTTAGCTCTGCTTAGCTTTAGCTCAAAATGTTAATCATTAAACTCAGTCAAGACATTCACATAATGAACATCTACATCAAGTTTAAACATTCTACCTCAATTAAAATCAGAGTTGTTATGTTCCAATCAATTTGCTTATCGTTCCTTAGCCTAGGTAGATAATTCTCATCATCCAACTTAGTCAAGGTAATGATATAATAAATCTATACTCGGAGTTTCATCACCCTCACTTTATTATAACCAAAGTTATCGTGCCCCAAAGCATCAACAAATCAGATTGCTTTTCTCTGCTTACCGTAAGCAGGCAATGTTTGTCTTTGAACTCCATCAAGACATTCACCTAATGAAAGCCTACAGGGTTCACCATGTTTGAACATTCTAGCCCAATTAGAAAAAAGTGTGACGACAGGAGGACAGACAAACACATTTTAATAGTATCCAGCTTTCTTCGAAAGGCGGGGGACAAAAAAGCTCAAACAAAAATCATATTATAGTGCAAGGAACAAAATTTGACCTCGATTTCTTCCCTATCTTGCCTCAAGTTATGTTCTTGTCCATGTGAAAATCTAATCTGGTCTTAAAAGGAAAGACCTAATATTTACAGTAATACTCTTGTCTCTGGTTACAGCTGTCAATTCAGTTTTTGTATAAGGAATTTAAACGATAATGTGCCTACTTTAAGATATAACTGTTTGAATTGTTGTAGTTTAATTCCATTACAATTCAATTAACAGTTAAAACCTTTCAATTAACTATAAATGGGCTGCCAGGAAAGAAAGCATATGCCCACAATAGCTAAGTCATCTAAGCATTCCATATAGGTTGTTAAATTGTAAATCTTTAGGTAAATAAAAATATCATTGGCGCATTAGGTGATTGAAAAGATCATACAATATACAGTTAAGGGCAATATGTCGCAACAAAAAGATTCTACAAGTTATAGTTAAGGACAATAATTCTAGAATTAATAAATCAAAATTCTTGAAATAATCTGAATAAAGCATATAAATTTCAAGTTAATCGGATAATGACTTTTGTTGTAAGAGCGTTCTCAAAATTCTACACAGTGAGCAAGAGCTGTAACTATAGAATCAACTACTGGAAATTATTGATATTCAACAGGCTTCTTCATTTCACTAATCTGAACAATGTACAGAGGACTCTGTCAATTCCGACATCGTAAAGGATCCTTACAATATGCAGGATTATGCTGAGTGTCAGAATACTCAGTTTTCTCAAAACCAGAAGCTATTCTTAACTAAATACTTACCAATCCATAGGCAGCACTTCTTTCTTCTTCTGTTGTTACATCAGCTACATAGGCAAATACTACACTAAATGTCACTGAGAATATACCAGATATAGATATCATAGCAAAATACCACCTAGAAAACACAGGTACAATTATAACAACCAACAGATCTCTATTGTCTTTAAAGCAAACATCTACTTAAAGGAGCAAAGTCTCTAACTCAATATTTTCCATAATATTCAAAATCAAAAACATGAATTGAAATTCAATATTGATCAATTTCAATCAATATTGATGTTGTTATCTTGCCATGAAACTATAGGATCATAATATCCAATTTTATTTATAATCAGTACACTAGTCGTATACCCTATGGTTTCTGGTTCCATTTTGTAATGAACAAATAAAAACATATCCTACAACACAATGTGGAAGTAATTAGTAAAGGCAGATTCACAAACGACAAAGTAATAATTTAAAAAACGTGTAGAATGCACCGAGCATGACTACCGTTCAATTTGAACTGTTCACGCATTTCAATGAACATAATGGATTAGAAATTACAATATTTATTTCTTAGATAGGTTGCCAGACAACAAAACATATGCCCACAGCAGCTAAATTGTCCGGGCAGTCAACAAGAGTTGTCACATATTTTTACTTTTTTTGGTAATGAAACATTTATAATACACTAAGTAATTATCAGAAAATCATTAGAATTTGTTTGGTTTTTATAAAGTTCTGCTGGAAAGTAAAGAAAGGATTATTTTTGGATTGAAAATACAGTAAACCTCGCATAAGTCGAATTCGTATAAGTCGGATATTCACTCTACTAGGATAAAATCGTTTGGACGCTTTGATCCTGCAATTTTTATTATTAAATTTCTGTGCGTCAGTCTGAATGAATTAAATGTTGTTTAATGGCACGTCAGCTCCAATCGGGCTATATTGCGTCAAACATATGGTGATTATTTCGAGATGGGCTAAATTATATCACAGAACACATTACATGCATAAATAAAAACAATATCACAGTAAGTAACATTAAAAATAAAATACATCTTTTATGCACATAACTATCTATCTTTTATGCATATAACTATCTAAAATACAAAGATAGGTTGCCAGGCAGCGAAACATACGCCCACAGCAGCTAAATCGTCCGGGCAGTCAACAAGTGTTGTCGCATATTTTTACTTCTTTCGGTGATGAAACATTTATAATACACTAAAATCTGATTAAGAGTAACAACTCATGAAGTAATTATCAGAAAACCATTAGAATTTGTTTGTTTTTTATAAAGTTCTGCCCCATGCTAACGTTTAGTATACAAAACGTTTATTATTATGGATTTAGCTGTTCAAGTCATAAAAATTCATTGAAAATCAATATACTTGTTTGTCTCAAGCTCTTAAACTCTGTGTATCAATCTGAAGTCAACTCTGGCAGTAATTATCGGAAATCACTGAAAATCAATAGGCTTCTTCGTCTCATGACCTTAAACACTGTGTATAAATTTAAAGTCAATCGGATATTAACTTTGGCCTTTAGAGCGTCCACAAGATTTTTGAAGTGATCAAGGCAATAACTCTGGCAGTAATTATCGAGAATCGCTGAAAATGAATAGACTTCTTTGTCTCATGACCTTAAACACTGTGTATAAATTTAAAGTCAATCGGATATTAACTTTAGCCTCTAGAGCGTCCACAAGATTTTTCAAAGTGATCAAGGGCCATAACTCTGGCAGTAATTATCGGAAATCGCTGAAAATGATTAGACTTCTTCGCCTCATGACCTTAAACACTGTGTATAAATTTAAAGTCAATCAGATATTAACTTTAGCCTCTAGAGCGTCCACAAGATTTTTCAAAGTGATCAAGGGCCATAACTCTGGCAGTAATTATCGGAAATCGCTAAAAATGAATAAACTTCTTCGCCTCAATCAGATATTAACTTTAGCCTCTAGAGCGTCCACAAGATTTTTTGAAGTGATCAAGGGCCATAACTCTGGCAGTAATTATCGGAAATCGCTGAAAATCAATAGGCTTCTTCGTTTCATGGCCTTAACCACTGTATATAAATTTAAAGTCAATCGGATATTAACTTTCGCCTCTAGAGCGTCCATGGGCGGAGCGGCTTTATGTGATGAAGTTTGTTTGTTCCTGCAAGATACCAAGACTGTTGCCAGCGGTCATAAATAAAATTATTTATACAGGATTTAAAATCGGTGTATGGCGTTAAAAATTCTGATAAGGGAAGATCTAAGGCAGAGTTGGCAGCCAAATCTGTTTGATCGTTCCCTTTTATATCCATGTGACTTGGGAGCCAGCAAAGGACAATGTCCTTGCTGATGAACTCGTATGATAGTAGCAGACGATAAATGTCTGCAACGAATGTGTGTTCAAGCTGTTTATTATTTATTGCTTGTAGTGAGGACAAAGAATCAGTAAAAATGACATATTTTAAATCAGATGGTAATTTAATGAACTCCAAAGCCTGATGAATAGCCTGTAGCTCAGTTGTAAAAATGGAGGTAGCAAATGGGAGACGAAAAGAGATCGTCTCAGATGGTGTCACAGTAGCCGAAGCTACCCGATCACCATCTGTATAAAGCATAATCGCCATACTTAGACCGTAACTCTCTAAAGAGAGATTGGAACTCCGCGGAACTAGTATCTTTGCCCACCCCAGCTTACCTTAATTTCGTTTCGTCTTATATCGCTGAGCCACGTAAATCCGTGCCCAAACCGCACATCTTTTAGCAGTAAAAAGTTGCCCAGTAAAATTGACTGGGAACCGATTTTATTTCAACAAGGATGGTTCCCGAACATACAGGGCGATAATGTGATTAAGTTCAGAGCTGAACTATGTCTTCGGCTAACTAGGATCTTCTCTTAACTCAGATAAGAGAGAGAGAGAGAGCGAGAGCGAGAGAGAGTTTAACGTCCACTCGACTCCAACTAGGACATTCTGTGACTAACATATGGTTCCATTTTATTTCAATAATTCGCTTGCGCGTAGGGGTCTTTAGCAGTGGGAGGAAACTGGAGGACCCGGAGAAAACCCACGAGTTGGACAGGCGACCCTATTCCTTGTCATGTATAACCGGGGAATCGAAACCCCTGCCAGTTGACCCAATGACTGACCGTATGATACAGAGCGCGCGTGCTAACCATTCAGCCATCCAACCCCCCTAACTCGGATAAAATTGGTCAGTCCACTTATGCGAAGTTTACTGTACTTCAATATAGTAATTTTTTTATTTATTAATATAATCTTTTGTGTAATTAAAGTACTTGTCTTATCACCAATAGAAAGAATTTGACATCATTCTAAAAGCACTCTATCCCAAATGTAAACAATGCTTACCAAGGACTAATTCTCATCAGTGGTATTGGTGCACAGGTAAATGTTACCGTTAACAACAAGAATGGTTTTCGTCCCCATACATCTGATAATGCTCCTATTAATGGTGCACTAAGAAAGGACAGCATACCCTGCAAAATAGGAATTATAAGAACTTATGTCTGAAAAATATATCACTAGGCAACGAAACATACACCCAAAGACGCTAAATAGTTTGAGCAGTAAATAAAGGTTGTCATCTTGTGCTGCTTTAGATAAATAAACAAACCAAGAGTAAATCTGATGCCCCCTCCCCCCACTGATGATATTCATTAATTACCGGTACCTGTGCATTTTTCTTTTTGTAAAGCATTGAGCAATCGAATTGCTTACCACACTGCTTAACCTGAGCAGAAAATGCTCATTAGCGAACTTTGTCAAGATACTGTAACTCTACTACACCAAGTATAATTAATTAGAATCAGAGTCGTCTCGTTCAAAGTCTCAACCAACCAATCAGTCAAGACATCCACATACTGAACATCTAAACTACGTGTGAAGTATGGATGGACAAAATATACAAAACTTATAGAGAGCTATCTTCCACATATGCGTTTTACAATAAATACATGTATAGAAAATATAAAAATCAGTAAAAAATAATAAAATCTATAGAAACAGTAAAAGATAGGTTGCCAGGCAACGAAACATCTGCCCACAGCAGCTAAATCGTCTGGGCAGTCAACAAGAGTTGTCACATACTTTGACTGTTTTCGGTAATGAAACATTTATAATCACTAAAATTAAAATCTGATTAAGAGTAACAACTCATTAAGTAATTATCAGAAAATCATTAGAATTTGTTTTGCTATTATAATGTTCTGCGCCATGCTAACGTTAAGTATACAAAACATTTAATATTATGGATTTAGCTGTTCCATATTAAGGGGTCGCTAACTCAATATTTTCCATAATATTCAAAATCAAAAACATGAATTAGAATTTCAATCAATATTGATGTTGTTATATATATGACTATATTTCAATGTGGGCGTATAAAAACTAAATATCTATAAAATCAGTACAAAAATAAATAAACAAGCCAACTGTGAGGCTTATGTCCCTCGCCAAAATCCCAAAATAAATAGATGACACATATTTATTAATCGCACATTTATTTTTCTCAAAAGTATCGAGCAATCAAACTATACACTAAGTTTCATCACTCTCTATCAGATAGAATCAAGATTATCTTGTCCCAAAGCATCGACCAATAATATTGATTAGCTCTGCTTAGCTTCAGCTCGAAATCTTGATCATTGAACTCAGTCAAGACATTCACCTAATGAACATCTACATCAAGTTTAAACATTCTACCTCAATTAAAAGCAGAGTTGTTATATTCCAAAGTCTTGTTGCTTATTGCTCCTTAGCCTAAGCAGAAAATTCTCACCATCGAACTTAGTCATGGTAAAGATAATGAATCTATATTCGGAGTTTCATCGCTCTCACTTCATTATAACCAAAGTTATCATGAACCAAAGCAAAGCATCAGATTGCTTACTGTAAACAGACAATGTTCATCATCAAACTCCATCAAGGCATTCACCTAATGAACGCCTACACCAAGTTATTCTACCTCAATTAAAAGGAGAGTTATTGTGTTCCAAAGTCTCTACCAATCAAATTGTTTACCGCTCTGTTTACCCTCAGCAGAAAATGTTCATTACCGAACTTAGTCAAGGTATTGATGTAATAAAGCTATACACCAAGTGTCCTCATTCTCACTTAATTAGAACTAAAGTTATCGTGTCCCAAAGCATCAACCAATCAAATTGCTTATCTCTGCATAACCTAAGCAGAAAAATTCTTATCTTTGAACTCCATCAAGTAGTGATGGTCCAATATACACCAAGTTTCATCACTCTCACTTAATTAGAACTAAAGTTATCGTGTCCAAAAGCATCAACCAATCAAATTGCTTATCTCTGCTTACCCTAAGCAGAAAATGCTCATCTTCGAACTCCATCAAGGCATTGACATAATAAACACCTACACCAAGTTTGAACATTGTAGCTCAATTAGAAAGAGATTTATTGTGTCCAAAAAAGTGTGACTGACAGACAGACATCGGGACGAACCCATTTTAATAGTCCCCACTTTCTTTGAAAGACGGGGGACAATAAAAGTATTTTATATTTAATTCTAACCAGCGGCTGCCAGGCAGGATACGCCCACATTTTCGAGAGATGGATAGAGAACAAGCTAACAAGTAAGTGATTTTTCCTACTATCAAGGGCCATAATTCAGGAAATTACAATTCAATATGCGCGAATATCGAAAGGAACCAAGATCTTTGTGTTATAAACTTACATTTCAAGTTTCAACAAAATAGGATAAAAATTGTGACCTCTATAGGGTCCACAACCTTGATATACCATATTTTTACGCTATTTGAGAACGAACGGCGGCCATTTTGTCTGTCAATTTTGGGCCGATTTTCACGAAATTCGAACCCAACCTTCCTTAGGGTGTAACGGTCATATAATAATACGGTTTTTTAAATCGGATAAAAATTATGACCTCTATAGGGTCCACAAGCTAAAAACGTGATTTTTCGTACAATCAGGGGCCATAATTCAGGAAGTTACAGTCCGATATGCACGAAGATCGAAAGGAACCGAGATCTTTGGGTTATAAACTTACATTTCAAGTTTCAAAAAAATCGGATAAAAATTGTGACCTCTATAGGGCCCACAACCTTGATATACCATATTTTTACGCTATTTGAGAACGAACGGCGGCCATTTTGTCTGTCAATTTTGGGCCGATTTTCACGAAATTCGAACTCAAACTTCCTTAGGGTGTAACGGTGATATAATAATACGTTTTTTTAAATCGGATAAAAATTATAACCTCTATAGGGTCCACAAGCTAAAAACGTGATTTTTCGTACAATCAGGGGCCATAATTCAGGAAGTTACAGTCCGATATGCGCGAATATCAAAAGGAACCGAGATCTTTGGGTTATAAACTTACATTTCAAGTTTCAACAAAATCGGATAAAAATTGTGACCTCTATAGGGTCCACAACCTTGATATACCATATTTTTACGCTATTTGAGAACGAACGGCAGCCATTTTGTCTGTCAATTTTGGGCCGATTTTCACGAAATTCGAACTCAACCTTCCTTAGGGTGTAGCGGTGATATAATAATACGTTTTTTTAAATCGGATAAAAATTATGACCTCTATAGGGTCCACAAGCTAAAAACGCGATTTTTCGTACAATCAGGGGCTATAATTCAAGAAGTTACGGTCCGATATGTGCGAATATCGAAAGGAACCGAGATCTTTGGGTTATAAACTTACATTTCAAGTTTCAAAAAAATCGGATAAAAATTGTGACCTCTATAGGGTCCACAAGCTAAAAACGTGATTTTTCGTACAATCAGGGGCCATAATCCATGAAGTTTCGATCCGATACATGCCAATATCGAAAGCAGCTGAGATCTTTTGGGGATAAACCTAAAGGTCAAGTTTCGTCAAAATCGGATAAGAATTGTGACCTGTAGAGAGTCCACAAACAATTGTGGACGGACAGGGGCGACGGCATAATACGTCCACATGAAAATGTGGGCGTATAAAAACTATAGGCAACCAGTGCAGTTGAAATAAAACTGGAGTAATATGCTCATTATATTTCGTGCGTGTGATCAGTCTTGCTGCTGAATTCTACATCTTTTGGAGTTAATCAATAATGCGACATGGAAGACCAATCAATAAGGAGTTGCATTTGTCCAGTCTGGAGGTAATTAAGGTACTTATAAGTATTTGTATTGTGTCAGTTGAGAGGTTATTGCGAATTTTACTAATATTACGTTGGTGATAATAACATTATTTACATACATTATTTACATGAGACTAGTCAAACATTACACCAATGTTTCTAGCAGTTTTTACTGGCTCCACAGAAACGTCGCCGATAGAAATATCAATTTTTGCTTGAACAGTTGGTGAGCAAATTAAAAGATACATCATTCAGCTTTAAAAAAATGGTTGACATCCATTGTCGTATTTCATATACTTAGTTAAAACAAAGCCAACTTTAACAAATGGTTTGAACGAGATATACAACTGCGTATCAAGCTAATCATTCAGCCATCCACCCCCCCCCCTCTCCCCACATATAAATTTGAAGCAGATCAGCTGATAACGTTTGTCAAATGAATGTCTTCAAAGTCGTATCCTTAGTGAATAAGGGCAACAAATCTAGAATTAAGAATTCTGTAATTTATAATTCTTACTCCGGAAATTGGAACACACAATGCCAAGATTTACAATTGAATAAGCATACTCTACCTTAACACCTTGAATAAGACCATTCATCAGGAATGTATGTTTGGGAAACGTGTCATTTAAAACCTGAAAAACAAATTCACTAATTATTCATAATAATTGAATTCATATACTAACCACTGTATCCTAAACAAGGAAGAGGGTTAAACAGTTTTTTTATCTGAGTGAGAAAAAACCAGTTGGATCAGAAATAGGATTTGGAAAAGATAGGTTGCCATCAACGAAACATACACACAGCAGCTAAATCATCCGGGCGGTCAACAAGGGTTGTCGCATATTTAATCTTTTGTAGGTAATGAATGGGAGGGGGGATTTACAAGACAATTGCATACAGATCAGATTATAATTTTCATCGATTGAGGGTTCACAAGGTGCTCCAAACTGAAACAGGGAACAAGGGCCTTAACACCGGAAGTAATATACAAAGATAGGTAGCCAGGCAACAAAACAATATGCCTACAGCAGCTAAATTGTCAGGGCAGTCAACAAGAGTTGTCGCATATTTTTACTTTTTCAGTAATGAAACATTTATAATACATTAAAATCTGATTAAGAGTAACAACCCATTAAGTAATTATCAGAAAATCATTAGAATTTGTTTGGTTTTTATAAATTTCTGCCCTATGATAACGTTAAGTATACAAAATATTTCATTTCATGGATTTAGCTGTTCAAGTTATCAAAATTCATTGAAAATCAATATACTTGGTTCATTTCAAGACCTTAAACTCTGTGTATCAATCTGAAGCCAATCGGATGATAACATAAGCCTCTAGAGCGTCACAATATGTTTCAAAGTGATCAAGGGCCATAACTTTGGCAGTACTTATCGGAAATCGTTGAAAATCAATAGGATTCTTCGTCTCATGACCTCAAACACTGCTTATAAATTTAAAGTCTGGCAGTAATTATCCGAAATCGCTGAAAATGAATAGACTTCTTTGTCTCATGACCTTAAACACTGTGTATAAATTTAAAGTCAATCGGATATTAACTTTAGCCTCTAGAGCGTCGACAAGATTTTTCAAAGTGATCAAGGGCCATAACTCTGGCAGTAATTATTGGAAATCGCTGAATATGATTAGACTTCTTCGCCTCATGACCGTAAACACTGTGTATAAATTTAAAGTCAATCGGATATTATCTTTCGCCTCTAGAGCATCCACAAGATATTTTGAAGTGATCAAGGGTCATAACTCTGGCAGTAATTATCGGAAATTGCTGAAAATCAATAGACTTCTTTGTCTCTTGACCTTCAACACTGTGTATAAAGTCAATCGGATATTAACTTTGGTCTCTAGAGAGAGAGAGAAATGGGGTTTAACGTCCACTCGACACAAACTAGGTCATTTCGGGACTAACATATGGTTTAATTTTATTTACATAATTTGCTTGCGCGTAGGGGTCTTTAGCAGTGGGAGGAAACTGGAGGACCCAGAGAAAACCCACGAGGTTGGACAGGCGACCCTACTCCTTGCCACGTACAACCGGGGATTCGAAACCACGCCAGTCGACTCAATGACAGACTTTATGATACAGCGCGCGCACGCTAACCATTCAGCCATCCAACCCCCCTGGTCTCTAGAGCGTCCACAAGATATTTTAAAGTGATCAAGGGCCATAACTCTGGCAGTAATTATACGAAATCGCTGAAAATCAATAGGATTCTTCGTCTCATGACCTTAAACACTGTGTATTAATTTAAAGTCAATCTGGTATTAACTTTGGCCCACATAATTAACATATTTCTTTATTAGGCTTAAAAGGAGGATGTTTCTTCCAGGGCAACAGTCTTGGTGTCTCAGGTCCAAAAAGCATCTTATGTCATGTTGCCATTGATCAAAAGGGGTTGAAATATGAATTGTGGGACACTATCTCTGCAACTGATTACAACAGATGAAATTCTTATCAAAATGTGAAAATTATTTATATGCATTTTATTATCGCAAGAATGAGTGCCAGATGTGTACGGAACTCATAAAATTTTGTCATTATAATATCTTTATTGACTTTGACATGAATCAATTTAGTTAAAATATACTATAAATTTGAAACCAGCGGCTGCCAGGCAGGATACGCCCACATTTTCGAGAGATGGATAGAGAACAAGCTAAAAAGAAAGTGATTTTTCCTACAATCAAGGGCCATAATTCAGGAAATTACAATTTGATATGCGCAAATATCGAAAGGAACCAAGATCTTTGTGTTATAAACTTACATTTCAAGTTTCAACAAAATCGGATAAAAATTGTGACCTCTATAGGGTCCACAACCTTGATATACCATTTTTTACGCTAGTTGAGAACGAATGGTGGCCATTTTGTCTGTCAATTTTGGGCCGATTTTCACGAAATTCGAACTGAGCCATCCTTAGTGTGTTACGGGGATATAATAATACGTTTTTTTGAATCGGATAAAAGTTACGACCTCTATAGGGTCCACAAGCTAAAAACGTGATTTTGCGTACAATCAGGGGCCATAATTCAGGAAGTTATGGTCCGATATGCGTGAATATCGAAAGGAACTGAGAAATTTGGGTTATAAACTAACATTTCAAGTTTCAACAAAATCGGATAACCAGCGGCTGCCAGGCAGGATACGCCCACATTTTCGAGAGATGTATAGAGAACAAGCTAACAAGAAAGTGATTTTTCCTACAATCAAGGGCCATAATTCAGGAAATTACAATTCGATATGCGCATATATCGAAAGGAACTGAGATCTTTGTGTTATAAACTTACATTTCAAGTTTCAACAAAATCTGATAAAAATTGTGACCTCTATAGGGTCCACAAGCTAAAAACGTGATTTTTCGTACAAACAGGGGCCATAATCCATGAAGTTTTGATCCGATACATGCCAATATCGAAAGCAGCCGAGATTTTTTGGGGATAAACCTATATTTCAAGTTTCGTCGAAATCGGATAAGAATTGTGACCTGTAGAGAGTCCACAAACAATTGTGGACGGACGGACGGACGGACGGACAGACATACGGACGTCCGGACGGACAGGGGCGACGACAATATACATTCACATGAAAATGTGGGCATATAAAAACATTAAAACACCAATAACCTGCATATTAGTCAATACCAACATATTTCCCTTTATACGTCGGGAAATTACATGATGTGCATTTGGAAATTACATGTAAACGACAACCTATCGTGAATAAAAGCAGGGACTCAAGTTGGTTTTAAGCTGGTTTGTTATTAGTTTGAATATGTATGCATGTTGTCAAAAAAAACCTAGCCCCTGTTTCGGAAGGACTTTCAAAGGATCGTAGGTCCATGAGTCATTTTCTAACATCCAATACACTAAATTGGCACTTATTTGGAGAGGTTAACCATTCTGGATCATGTGTAATACATGTACATGTTGGAATCAGCCTCAGAACAGTCAATAGTAATATGCCAAGACGGGTTATTTTCTTCCAATAGTAAAATCAAATGTTATTTAAAAAATATTATGAATCAAATTTTGTTGTCACAGCTGGTTAAGAAAATATATCTGTTTTTTTTTCTGTTACTACTAAAAGTGCCCAGAGCGTCTGCCTCTGGTGTACTAGTAGTATCTACACAATTCATAATCAATAACAGATGACATTTTATACACTGTTCAAATTAAATATAGATAACAACAGCAGGTACATATATTTATAATCAGTTAAAGAGAAGTTTGACAAATACATGTATATTTATCAGGAATACATTAACTGTCTATTTATAGTAATACAGCATGCATAGCTACCTTGAAATGAAATGAAACTGGTGTTTAATGTATTATCTGTACAAATGCATGTTAGAATGATAAATTCCTGGAGGTTTTTTTTAGAAGTTCCAAACATCCGAAGGTTACATTTTTTAAAACAAATTTTACATTATACAGTGTCCGATTAAAAACATTACCACCCATCATCATCATGTAGGTAAATAGGTAAGTGGTAGTTTTGTCAGATATGTTTGGAAAATAATTCAGCTTTCTAACAATGTGTATACATGTATGTATATGTACTATAAAGTATGTTTGGTCTGAATCTGACTAAAAATCCTAACCAGCCGCTAAAAGGCAAGACACGCCCACATTTTACAAGAGATGCATACAGAACAAGCTAAAAAAAAAAGTGATTTTTTGTACAATCAAGGACCATAATTTAGGAAGTTGCGATCCGATATGTGCGAATATCGAAAAGAACCAAGATCTTTGGGTTATAAAGATATATTTCAAGTTTGATCAAGATCGGATCAAAATTGTGACTTCCAGAGGGTCAACAACTTTGATATACCATATATTTACACTATTTGCTTACAAAGGGCGTTCGTTTGTTTTGTCTGGAATTTTGGTCCCATTTTCACAAAATTTGAAATCAGCTATCATTAGGGGGTAACGGTGATATATTCCAACGTTTTTGTTTTCAATCGGATAAAAATTGTGACCTCTACAGAGACCACCAGCTAAAAATGCGATTTTTTTAACAATTAAGGGCCATAATTCAGGAAGTTATGATCCCATATACATGAATATCAAAAGGAACCAAGATCTTTGGGTTATAAACATGTATTTCAAGTTTCATCAAAATCGGATATAAATTATGTCCTCTAGAGTGTCCACAACCTTGATATACATGTACCATATATTTACACTATTTGCGTACGAGGGTTGGCCATTTTGTCCGGCAGTTTTTGTTTGATTTTCACGAAATTTGAACTTGAAAACGTTTTTTAAATCGGATAAAAATTGTTACCTCTAGAGGGACCACAAGCCAAAAACACAATTTTTCATACAACCAAGGGTCATAATTAAGGAAGTTACGATCAGATATCTGCGAATATTGTGGACGGACAGAAGGACAATATACTCCCACATGAAAATGTGTCCGTATAAAAATCTTCCAAAAAGTTTTAAAGGAGACAAGCCAACAGTGAGGCTGATGTTCCCCGCAGAAATCCCAAAAATAAATAGATGACAATTGCACATTTATTTTTTCAAAAGTATCAAGCAATCAAAGTGATTATTATCTATACACTAAGTTTCATCACTCTATATCAGATAGAATCAAAGTTA